CAAACACTCGCGATATGTGAGCATGACTCAGCCAGTCCAGCTTTGCATCCCAAGCAATGGGCTGACAAAATAGTCCCATCGTTTTCGGAAATGACCCAAATGTTCACTAAAGGATCATTCATATGCTGTGATTGCCAAACTCGTGCTCTCACAGCATACCTGTCGGCGATTACTTTGCCTACAACTGAGGTTACAAATCCCGACACCATTTCATTAAACGCCTCTAGACTCTTGAACGCCTTGAACCGCTTTTTGGTGTAGAAGCTGGTCTCAAGAACGAGGTAACTCAGCACGTCCGACGCTTCCACAGGAGGCAAGCATTTTGGACTGAGCTTCTCGGCTGGTAGGCTTGCAGGGTCAACTCTAATGACCGAGATCTTTTGCAAACATCTTTCCTTCCAACTCTCTAAGCTTTCGGCATACTCAGAGACCACTGGGATACCTTAAGATGAATGCCAGATACTTTCATCGCTTTTTTCTTTCTGGATATTCATGTAGTTGGCGAAATAATACGGCGATAAGAGGGAGGGCTTCACTCTAGAAATTGACTGATTATTCATAAATTTGACACCCGAGGGACACCAACATGGCGGACACTAACTTCAGCAAAGCTTGTGACGTCACCTGAAACCTAACCATACAACACGATAATATTGCAGTCAAATATTTCTTCAGATAACTTGTAAATTTTTTTCCTCCTAGAAACTCAAGTGAAGACTTGTTCTTATACATTGTTAGAACCTTCACCATTTTTCAAGGTATTTAATTAATTAACGAAAACAAACCAGCCGAGTATTTACTGTTCACCGTGTAATCAAGTGGTCCGGCCATGCAGCGCTGTTTCTCTTTGTTTATATGCTTATTTCATTTTTAGCCTACTACCTAACATCACATAGGTGAGCTTTGTTCCTCAGCAGCCATTCTTCCATCATTGACATTTACAATGACTTTTCTGAAAATGATAGTAATGATAGTTTTGATCACCGTGACTAAGATTTTTCTAATTGGGAATCGAGAGAGGATGTTTCCTTCTTTGTTGCTCATGTCATAGTTGCTTGAAGTTAGAAACAGAAAAATAATGCGTTAACGTTGAAGACATATTTTCTTTTGTTTTCATTCCTCAAATCATTAGATGATGACCTTCAGAGCAAGGAGCCAGTATTTCAATGAAGAGGATATCATGTTTCTCTGTTTAGATTGCGTGTTCAAAATTTACTAAAAGGCAAGCAAGAGTCGGGCCGTGCGAGCAAGAGGAGGATCTTATTGGAATTGAGTAAGCAGTGGAATGGAAACGTTAGAACTACAAAATCTCTTCGATAACCACAACGTTATAACATTGATTACAAAAAATTGTCTATAATTGACCTACCTATGGTGGAGTTAACTGTTGATTAGTTAAATTTCACCTTAAAGCAAAGGGTGGGAATAAAAATAAGGGGAGGGAATGGGGTGCATTACTTTAGGATAGATTAAAAGTGGCAACCTGGTTTCCGAAGTGAATTACTTCGATATTAGCAATCATAACAGTTAACTTGAAACAAAAAATACTGTAAACTACAAGGTGTCCAAGTCTAACAATATATACTAATAAATTTTACACTTCCCTGGTAAATTTAATGATCGATGTTTTGCTTTTAGTATTATATACATGAAAAATTTCTCTTTTCTGATTGGTTAAGATGAATGCAGTTTTCAGTTAATTCAGTGCAGAAGAGAGTTAATTCAGTGCAGAAGAGAGTTAATTCAGTGCAGAAGAGGGTTAATTCAGTGCAAGGAAAGAAACAAACCAGACATTATGATTGGTCAATGTCAATGTCAAGGTCAATGTCATTTGCAGGGTTTGAATAAATTATTTTTGCACCTGATGCGCGCGCTTTTCTTCTGCGTAGTTATGAGAAGCTACCTCGTATTTTTTCATTTATATTATTAATACATAATCACATGATTTTCTCGTGAAATTTGGAATAAATAAGCACTTGTAAAACTTTTCAAAGACCACAAATTGCACTCGCCCTACGGGCTCATGCAATTTTGTTAGTGTTTGAAAAAAATTACTCGTGCTTATTTATTCCAAATTCTACTCGAAATCATGTGATTACCTATACAAATGCGCTAGCTTCTGCCTGAAGTTTTTACACGATTATAGCAAACCTCATCCAAAACTTCATCCAAAACCGGTTACAATAACAGAGAGAAAAACAAAATACATATCTATATATATGCTAATTCTTAAAGAAAGAAAGTTTGAATAATAAAAGGAAAAGAAACACCTGGACCAATCATAGGTCAAATGAACTATTCCTGTGAAATATTCCAAATTTAAAATAAAAACGGCAAAACATAATATGCATAATAATGACAGTGCCAGCCTCCAAGTTAATATTAGGGAGCTTAAGCAACGACGACGGCGACGACAGCGAGAACGGCAGAAAACAATAGGCTTAATGAGTAAAAACAATCGCCCTGCACGTGCTTTTAACATTTTGGTACATTTCTTTGCCGTTCTCGGCAAAACAACAACATGAAATAACCAAACTTTAGGTTTCTCGTTAACGTGAGCGCATGACGGTTAATTTTTCTTTCTTTCTCCTTACTTTAACGCCGTTCGGGCAACCAAGAGAGAAGAATAGTTCGCCCGAATGAAAAAAAGAAAGAAAAGAAAAAAAAAATGGCAAAGTCGTATAAATTTGAATTAGAAAGATTTTCCAGGGGTGCCAACGAAGCGTTCGCAAACTTTTGGACTCTTTTAAGCTTCTTACACTTGGTGCTTCCTCCAAAGTCCGCAGATAGATCAACTGCACCGAAGCTTTAGTTGGACTGGAGAAATTCTCAGCGTAATTCCTTGACTGGCGATCATTTGTAATTGGTATTAATATAATTTCAGAGCTGAGCAAGGAGTTTCCAGCAATCTGATTGGTCGAGCGGTTCCTTAGATGACGCTATATAAACCGCTCCGCGTGGTTCATATAAAATGTTAAAATAAAATGTTAATAAATGTTACTAAAATGTTATGATTTTAGAATTTTCTCTGTTGTTCAGCTCTGAAATTATACTAAAACAATTATTCGCCTCAGGTTCGGTGAATATTGTCGCATAATCCCCTCGACTTCGTCTCGGGTTGAATAATCCCCTCGACTTCGTCTCGGGGATTATTCAACGATATTCACCTCGCATTCGGCGAATAATTGCTAAAGATAATGCTCCATGATGAAATAAGACCAAAATAAGGGACACAAAGGTTAAAACACTACGCAGCTAATTTTTCTTTTTTCATTCTTAATTAAGAAATTGGATTCCATATTAATTCGATTCACACCCTTCCTCCAAAAGAAGGCTCTGCTTCTTGTCGTCAATGACATTGAAGGGAG